TATGTACTACTCATTCAGTTCTGGAGAGCAACTGCATGCATGCTCCCAAGTCTGCCAAATATATACACTGGCATCTAATGTTGGTACTAGGTGATGCCGATCTTCAGCAGTTCTGCCACTGGATGCCAAATATATTTATGGGCAGACATAGCTCACCTAGCTGCTGTTGGTATTGCAAAGCTAGCTGTCAACGAAATATGGTCGGCAGTCCACCGAGGGGGGTGCCCGTGGTGGTAGATTATCGGTAGACGGTGCGTGTAATCAGGAACCAGATGGTGACACAAGGCACAGAGATAGCGATTTAGACAGGTTCGGGTCGTCTGGTCGACGTAATACCCTACGTCTTGTGTCTTTGGTGTATTATATTGAGATGTATACAGATTAACCTGTCCTCTAGGGGACCCTTGTCTCTCCTTATATACTCCGAAGAGACAAGGTTACAAGTAAAGTATCCAATTTGGTACTATTACAATATCTAGTACAACTTGTAATCTTGATGTGCACGCCTTGATCTTACGTGCCGGGCCACCTCGGATGGTGCGGCCCATGTACCATCTTGTGGTACCCGGGGGTATATCCCCCACAGCTAGTCCTCGAGCGCCATGTATTCTGATGCGACACGCCATTTTAATCTTCTCCGAGCAGTGAGGCTTGAGTTCTTGACGTCTCTGACCACCGTTGTCGCCGGAGAAGTAGGTTGTCCGAAGAATGTATGGTGCTCTTAAGAAGAAAGAAAAAGATTTCTATCCTGGGAAGTGTGCCCACTTGTATTTCTGAAAAGAAATGTAAGTGTGTCTTGAAGCGTAGCGTCTTTGATCGTCAGAGGCGTAGTGGTCGAAAAACAAGCACATTCACCGCAAGGTAAAGTGTGCCCACTTAGTCTCCGAGCCTGGTAGTAGGTGACGTAGGCACGTGGTGCCAGGGTCTAAAAAGAATTCCCAGTTAAGTTGAGAATCCAATAAATCAGACAAAGGCGTCACGAGATGCACGGCAGGTGCATCGTACCGATGTAGTCCCCGAGCTTGCTGGAAGGTGAGGTATGAGCCTTATAGCAAGGTCTAAGTGAAAAAAATATCCCAAGCGTATGCGCGAGTCGCCACCGCATGTAGTCGAGACGCAAAGTCCCCGAGCCGTGGTCGGAGAGTGGTCAAGGCAGTCCCCGAGCACAGGTCGAGGAGCGAGCGACGAAGTCCCCGCGACGTGGTCGGAGAGTGGTCGAGGCAGTCCCCAAGCACAGGTGTAGTCCTCGAGCGTAGGTTGAGAAGCGAGCGACGAAGTCCCCGAGCTGTGGTCGGAGAGTGGTCGAGGCAGTCCCCGAGCACAGGTCGAGGAGCGAGCGATGAAGTCCCCGAGCCGTGGTCGGAGAGTGGTCAAGGCAGTCCTCGAGCGTAGGTCGAGAAGCGAGCGATGAAGTCCCCGAGCCGTGGTCGGAGAGTGGTCGAGGCAGTCCCCGAGCACAGGTCGAGGAGCGAGCGACGAAGTCCCCGAGCCGTGGTCGGAGAGTGGTCGAGGCAATCCCCGTGCGTTGGTCGAGAAGCGAGCAATGAAGTCCCCGAGCATAGCTCGAAATTACTGCAATATAAATATGTAGAATGGTAGTACATGATGTACAAAATAATAAATTATGAAGAAAATCAGCAGTGAAGAAATAGCGTATGACGCTCAGCAGTCATTTACAAATGAGCATGATGTGATAAAGCAGTTGGTGCTTTGTAAACATCAGTGTTAATGTGAAATTTGTGTTTATACTTAATATAAACTGCCCGACCAGTTAGTATGTAGCTGAGTCTCCAGCCCTAGCTAGCCCGTTAACCATAACGCGGGGCGCGGAGCCCGTGCACGTGTAGGACGAACAAAGCATCGCTAAGGAGCCGCTGCCGACCACCCATAACGCAGAGGGCAGACGCTCGTGCACGTGTAGGGAGGAGCCAGAGACAGGGCCTTTTCTAGAGACATCGAGCGTCAACATGATTGGTCGAGGATTTGCATTAAGTATAGCTGTATGTTATCTTTAAGATGGTATACATGGACAAACGTTATTTGAAGAATAATCATAACCAGGATGCTGTGGAGAAACGTCGTAATGAAAATTGTGTTAAATATAAATATTAGAAGTGTACTTATCTTTGATAGAAATCTGGTCGATGGCGATAAAGTTGTCCAGTCCTCGAGCTTTTCGGCCTGTTGTGACGGTGGTCGCGGTTGTCATAGCGCCGTTCTTCGTGGCGATCATTATTGCGACGTGGTCTGGTGGTCGAGGTGGTCGGAGCTCGGCAGAGCCGCTCGGGATGTGGTCGACGTGGTTTGTGGTTGATGTGGTCGAAGCTTGGCGGAGCCGCTCGAGACGTGGTCGACGTGGTCCATGGTCGATGTGGTCGGAGCTTGGCGGAGCCGCTCGAAACGTGGTCGACGTGGTCCGTGGTCGATGTGGTCGAAGCTCAGCGGAGCCGCTCGGGACGTGGTCGACGTGGCCTCGGTGGAGCCGCTCAATCGGCCCGCTTGGCTCGACGTGGCTTGCTAGACGGCTCGATGCGTGCATTGTCTTCGTAGTCGTCGTTGGCTTGTGTGGTGATCTAACTTGGACACATATATGCTTCCTTGGTTGCATGGTTCTGTAACATAGCACGGTGGCTTGATGCAGTCGGATAGCTTGTTCGATGCCTCGGAAGATCATCTCGGCGGTCATGTCGGCGTTGGAGAGCTTGTCACAAGACGGGATGAATAGACAGTGTTCGGCTTGATTGCGGCTGCATGATGCACACGTACGTATACACGCGCACATGTATGTGCCCCTGTAGATCCGTGGTTGCATATTTGCATGCATGTAGATCCGTTTATACTCTGAGTAGCAGATCCGTACAAGCACGAGGAGTCTGATCTGAGTGGGAGTCAAGGAGCCGCCGCGATTGACGCTACTCATTGCTTGTACAACTGTTCATGGTCTAGGATCACCACGCGCGATAGCATGCCGCCGCAAATCGTCGCGTGATGCCGAGGCGATCTTGCCATCTAGCGGGCCGTCGATCGTCGATAAGTTGCTGCCAGGATAGCAGTGCTTCGATTTGGCGACGCGTGTTGTTCGGAGATACGCCGTGATCGTTGAGGGATGTTGATCTTGAGTTATGCCATCTGATTCACCAGGGATCAGCGCGCATGAGCCCCTAAAAGGGGACCCCTACCTGGCGCGCCACTGTCGACGAAATATGGTCGGCAGTCCACCGAGGGGGGTGCCCGTGGTGGTAGATTATCGGTAGACGGTGCGTGTAATCAGAAACCAGATGGTGACACAAGGCGCAGAGACAGCGATTTAGACAGGTTCGGGCCGTCTGGTCGACGTAATACCCTACGTCATGTGTCTTTGGTGTATTGTATTGAGATGTATACAGATTAACCTGTCCTCTAGGGGACCCTTGTCTCTCCTTATATACTTCGAAGAGACAAGGTTACAAGTAAAGTATCTAATTTGGTACTATTACAATATCTAGTACAACTTGTAATCTTGATGTGCACGCCTTGATCTTACGGGCCGGGCCACCTCGGATGGTGCGGCCCATGTACCATCTTGTGGTACCCGGGGGTATATCCCCCACACTAGCAATATATTAGCGGTATTGCAAAGCTAGCAATATATTAGCTTCGCACAGACGCTAACGCAATTTTTTTATTTTTAATCCTTTTTTATTAAATATTTTAATAACAATCGCTCCTAAATTTTTTTCGGATTTCACCCTTTTGGTCGCGCCAACACCGCTGGCGCGATCAAATAACGTTGTCGGGCCACATGCATTGGTGCGGCAACATCTGCCACGTTAGACGGCGTTTTTGACATGGAAAACACTGTCACGCCACTCCCGCTGGCGTGACAGTATTGTTCTATCGCGCCACCGGGAGTGGCGTGACAAGACCAAACCTTTGAAAAATCATAACTCTTTGATACGACGTCGGATGAAGATAAAATTTATATAAAAATTGTAGGTCTCGATGAAATCTATAACTTTGTAGTTTTGAGTTTTTCATTTAAGGACGTTAAGATGCTCAACAAAATAATATAAAATTTTAGGAGCATAATAACCGCATACTAGTGCTCGTAGCATTAGACAAATAATATCTTTTCCGTATGGTGTCAAATGAAAATACTTTTTACATCAAAGTTGTAGCTCTCAATGAGATCTACAACTTTATACTTCTGAGTTTTCACATTTGAAGTCGCTAAGATGCTTAAAAATAATATAAAACTTCAGTAGTATAAAAATCATGTACTAGCGCTTATCGCATTAGAAAAATAATATCGTTTTGGTATCATGTCAAATGAAGGTACTTTATATATCAAAGTTGGAGCTCTCAATGAGATCTAAAACTTTTATTTAAAAAGTATTTTTATGTGACATCAAATAAGAAATATACGAATTTTCTAAAAACATAAGCTTTGATACACGATTAATATGCTGCTAAAACTTTATATTAGTTTTTAGAGTATGTTAACAACCTCAAACATGAAAACTCAAAACCATAAACTTGTAGATCTCATTAAGGGCTACAACTTTGATATAAAATGTTTATTTATTTGACACCATATAAAAACGATATTATTTTTCTAATGCGACAAGCGCTGGTACGCGATTATTATGATGCTGAAAGTTTATATTATTTTTCGTGGATTTTAAGCATCTCAAATGTAAAAACTCATAACTACAAAGTTATAGATCTCATCGATAGATATAATTTTCACGTAAAAAGTATCTTCATTTAACAACATACAAAAAATATATTATTTTTCTAATGCGACAAGCACTTTTACGCGGTTATTATGCTCCTAAAATTTTATATTATTTTTTTGAGCATTTTAACGTCCTCAAATGAAAAAACTCAAAAATACGAAGTTGTAGACCTCATCGAGAGCTACAATTTTTATATAAATTTCATCTTAATCCGACGTTCTATCAAAGAGTTATGATTTTTCAAATGTTTGGCCTTGTCACGCCACAGCAAGACCAAGCGTGATGGCCGGCGGCTCCAGGAGCAGGAGGCCAGCTGCTGCCCACTCCTTCATCCTCCTAGCGCTGGTGGCGCTCACCCCCGCCGGCAAGGCGAGCGCGGCCACGTTCCAGGTCACCAACCTCTGCCCCTTCACGGTGTGGCCAGCTGCGATCCCGGCCGGGGGCACTCAGGTGTAGCCTGGCCAGACGTGGATCTTCAAGGTGCCGTCGGGGACGGGTGGCAGGGTCTGGGGGCGCACTGGCTGCCGCTTCGCCCCCAGTGGCTATGGGTGGTGCGCCTCCGGCGACTGCGCTGGCGCCCTGCGCTGCCAGCTCTCAAGCAAGCCCCCGGCAAAGCTAGCCGAGTTCACCATCGGCGGCGGTGGCAGCGCCGCGGCAGACTATTACGACCTCTCGGTGGTCGACGGCTTCAACCTGCCCATAGACTTCAGGTGCGACGGCGAGGTCCACACGATCCGGTGCAGGAACCCCGGCTGCCCCGACGCCAACCACCGCCCCGGCGAGGGCAAGGTCCACAGCTGCAAGGCCGACAGCGACTACCACATCGTCTTCTGCCCAAAGTAAACTAGGCGTCATGCATCTCAATCACTTCTGTCTTCTGAGAGGGTGACTAGCTTGTTGTCAGTATCTATCTACCGCTTCAGTTGATTCCGTGGATAAAATAAAAATAAATCCAATCGAGTGAACACTGTGATCGTCCATGCATGTCAATGGTAAATAATATTGATGTTTGGTGATAAGGAGGCTGTATGCTACTAAATTCAGAAAATAATCTCATATGTATCACCTCTTTAATAATCTTCTTAGTAAATGAAAAAGGAAAGAACCTTCATTTATTTATCTCTCGTCAGAGACATGCGCAACCTGCAGCGCACATCAGAAAGCACAACTAATCTGGCTAATTCTTCAGTTCTGGATGGCCAAATACATGTTTGGTTCAGTCATGTATTTCAGTTTCACAAAATGATTGGTGAAAGCCGTATTCATAAGCAAGCTTATTTATATTGAAAAATAGATTAAAGTTGGGGATGTAGCTCAATTGGTAGAGCGCTAAGCTTTGCATAGTCAGAGGTACGGGGTTGAACTCCTCGCATCTCCAATGTAGTCTTTTATAATTTAATATATTACTATATTTCTCTCAATAATAAGATCATCTATCCATCTTCAATCCTTACATTGCTCTAAGGTGTGGTGATTTTGTCTATTTTGAAAGTTAGAGAATATAGGATTTTTGTGTTCTGAGTGTAGAGAGTTTTCAGACTCGGCAACAACAGTTCAAGGGCTCAAATGGACCTCACTCAATTTTTTTATTTCTCTCAACACGAGTTAAATATATAAAAAAACCGTATACACCTTCATCGAAGGAACCTTATGGACGAAGTTTTCGTCTTTATTGGTTGAACAAGCAGCAACTGCATGCTCCTCTATGCATGTCTGCCAAATATATACATTGGCATCCGAGTCTCATTAACACGGCATCTAATACTACTAGATCATAGTAACTTGATGGCGATCTGTGTATACATTTGTGGCGAGCCTTTGCAAAAACTACTATAAGTGATGGATGCATGGGCTCATCTTCAGCCATTGGGGCCAGCTTCAGTTCACCTCATATATGGGCTGGCTATAGCTGCTGCCATGCTTGGTGGAAAGCACCTTCAATTCACCAACAGAAGTTCAGTGAGCTTATTAAACAACTAGCTTGGGTTCATAATTAAGAATTCTTAGCAGTTAGTCTTGAGACAAATTCGAGGTCCGTGAGTGAAATTTACTCTTGTTTAACTAAAAAGGATGACATGACTCAACCACCCTTAGAGAGTGTAAGATTTTTTGTTTTTTTTTTTTTGTTTTCGAGTGTAGGGAGTTTTTGGACTCGACGACAAGTTCAAGGGGTCAAATGGACTTCACTCTATTATTTTATTTCTCTCAACATGAGTTAAATATATACAAAATAGAAGGTATACACCTTCATCGAAGCAACCTTATAGCTGAACTTTTCTCCTTTATTGGTTGAACAAGCAGTAACTGCATGCTCCCCTATGCATGACTGCCAAATGTATGTACATTGGCATCCAAGTCTGACTAACACGGCATCTAATACTGGTACTAATAGATCATAGTAACTTGATTGCGATCTGTGTATACACTTGTGGCGAGCAGTTGCAAAAACTACTATAAGTGATGGATGGGTTCACCTTCAGCCACTAGGGCCACCTTTACTTCACCTCATATATTGGCAGGCTAGCTGCTGCCTTGGTATATTGGAAACGACTGGCAGTACACCTCAAGAATTTCGACCAATCTTAACCTAGTGCAGTTAAGTTTGAAAGGAGGTGTTAGACAATATGTAACAACATATTGGTGCCTGTGAGTAATTAACGTGGGGTGTACACGGTGGCAAGCACTTGATTTGCATAGGCCAAGGGAAGTACAAAGGTTGTTGTATAAAAAACAAAGGTTGTACATTAGAATGTAGATATGTATATTAGAGTGTAGCACATTTGTTTGACTTATGGATCCACAATCTGTTATAGCTGCTGGTTAGCCGCCTCTTTTTTATCTCCTTTTTTGTTTCTTCATTTGTTCCTGGCTTTGTATCTTGGTTTCTTGGAACTCCTCTTTTTATTGTTAATAATGCAGGGGGGGTATACGCCGACTGGGTCAGCAGTAAGGCTGGGCAAAAATAACCGAGAACCGAACCGAAAGAACTGGAACCAAAACCGAAAGAACTAGAACCGAAAATTTCGGTTAGCTGTTCGGTTCTCAGTTCTGAGGAACCGAATTAACTGATCAAATTTCGGTTCCTGGGCTCAGTTAACCGAAATAACCGAAGGAACCAAAATTCACAAATAAGCCCAATAAACCTTACAACCTAGGCCTAATACCAACTTAATCCTAGATATAAAAGGTGGATGACACCCCCTCACAGCCTCACACCCTCACATTTTTTAAAATCTCGGCATTGTGCTTTTTTTAAAATATTTTTCCCTATTTTTTCTATTCTTCTTTTTTTTTTGCTGCTTGTGTAAATCCTCGGTTAGTTCGGTCGGAACCGGAACCGAACCGAACTAACCGAAACCGATTTTGCTCGGTTCCAAGATTTCCGAAGAACCGATCAGTTCCTATTTGTAGAGAACCGAATTTGTGTCATAAACCGAAGAACCGAACCGAAACCGATCGGTTAACCGAACGCTCAGGCCGAGTCAGCAGCCAGCCCCCCGCCGACCCCCACTCCCACAATTATTATTTTTGAAATTGGGCCATTTCACTTGTATTTCGCCGGCCTTGCCGTTCATGCCCACGCCCCACGCAGCCAACCAGCCCAACATGATAGCAGCTATGCAGTAGATCCAAAATTGCTAACATCAGCACATATCCCATGCTTTTTGAAGTAAAAAAAATCATAGCTCCTAAACCAAGTATCCAGATTGTACCACATGGATACATTTCGATAAAAAAATTTAACAAACATTTATCTCATGATGAACATGTATTTAAAGATAATCGTCGAACATCACATTAACACTACACGAACATCGCAAAAAATAGCATAGAACATCATATGTATACTAAGTGAACATCACATATGTCATGAAATGTAAAATAAAAAATAAATAAAATTAGTGAAGTAATTAATTCTAGTTAAATGAAAAGAAGAAAAAATGGTACGGAACATCATAAATACATTGTAGAACATCACAAATTATATCATAGAACATCATATGTATACTACGTGAACATTACATGTAGCATGAAATGTAAAATAAAATAACAAAATTAGCAAAGTAATTAATTAGAGTCAAATAAAAAGAAGAAAAAAAGCTATTGAACATCACAAAAATATATCCTAGAACATCAAATGTATACTACCTAACATCACAAATACATCGTAGACCATCACATTAACACTACACGAATATCACAAAAATATAGCATAGAACATCATCTATATACTACATGAACCTCACAAAATATCATTAAATGAAAAATAAAATATTAAAATTAGTGAAACAATTAATTAAAGTCAAATAAAAAGAAGAAAAATGCTACCGAACATCACAAAATATATCCTAAAACATCAATGTATGCTTACTGAACATCACAAATACATCATAGAACATCACATTTCTACTCGCAGACATCAAAAAATACATCATAAAACATTACATATATACTACATGAACATCACGTGTATCTATAAATAAAAAAAAGTGAAACATATAAAAAAGAAATTAAAAATGTATAAATGTTAAAAAATAAAAAAGAAAAAAAGAAACAAAAATAAAAAACTAAATAGAAGCAAGGAAAGGAAACTAAATAGAAACACACATTTCTCTTAGAATGCCTAACGATGTTCAACTCCTCGCACCTCCAACCAAATCGAACCGAAGTTTTGATGTTCCAGCTGTGCTGATCCACCGAAATTTCTTTTTATTTAATATTTTTTCTCTCATAACGGTCCAAAACTTTTTATTTACTCTTTTTTTCTCTCAAAATGCATTACAATGTTCAACTCCTCCCATCTTCAACCAAATTGAATCGAAGTTTTGATCTTCCAGCTGTGCTGATATGCTGAAATTTCTCATCGCCCGTGATGCAAACTACAAGCTCCGCCACGGCCATGCCATCCCCTGCATTCTTGTTGCGCTTTGCATGGCTCGATGTCAATCCAGGATGGCAGTTGCATAAATTAAAGCACCAAGAATTGAGGGATGGGAATCGGGATCTAGTAGAGGCATGAGAAGGAGAACGGAGGGTGGAGGAATGGAGTGCTCGCCATGACAGAGACCTGAAGCGCCGCGGTGCGCGGACAACAACGACTCGAGGAGTGGAGGATGAGACCGACATCCTTCGTGTTTTTAGTGTGGGCTAAGTAGACAATTATTTTATCTAGGTGTCAGGGCTAATTACCGGTGTGAGCCTTTTTATTTTACAGTCCATCCAAACAAGGTTTTTGTGATCAATCTGGAAGATTTGTGGGCTCCAATTTTACACTGGTGTCTGGATATAAAACCAGCCGTCCAAACATGATGGAAGGCTTTTGAACGGTGAAGGCCATATTCGAGTGAAGTCACTTTTTGCATTATCTGTTATACGGTCAGACTTACCGGTACAAGTAAAATAATTAAAAGTAATTATATTTATAAATGAAACAAACATTGGCGATGTAGCTCGGCGAGTTCTTTAACAAGCAGGGCTGCATCGGTCCGGCCGACCTACGGCTTGTAACTACCGTCATGGCTTATACTTCTGTTTGTAAGGCTACATCGGTCCAGCCGACCTCTTGCGAGCTCTAATGTAAGCTAGTTATCGATTCACTACTGGAAACTCGAATTGTTCTATGAGTGTTTAATTTTTCTGTGCGTTTTTTTTTTGGTACGCACAGAAAAATTATGATTTTTCTATCGGTTTCAAAATATCCTGACAGAAAAATACGAAAAAAAATGCAACTTATTCTGTCGGTTCTTTAAAAACGCACAGAAAAAATATATACACGCACAGAAAAAATATTATTATTCTGTCGGTTATTTCAAAATGCATAGAAAAAACGTACACGCGCACAG